TAATGAAAGCAAATTTCTGTTCAATATTATGATTGGTCAATAGTCTGATTAACAACCAATACCTAACTGCGTAACAATAGCATGCGGGTTTAAACAGAACTCCAAATATGTTTACATAACGTTACGTCATGACTCACGAATTTTTGTACGCCCAATTAACCAGTTCTTAGCAGAATATTACAGAAAAACTAATTGACAAACAAAGCTATCAAAACGCCTGCAATGCAAACAATAGAACAGATCACTACAATCTTGGAGTGGCATTTAGCGATCAGGAAACACATTAACAGAACACAGTTTTTATGGGATACAATCACTAGTTTTATTCTAAAAGCACGACGTTTCGACAAGTATCCTCTTATCGTTATCAAGCACGCATGGTGACTGGAAAATATCACGAATGAAATAATCATAACGTATGACTTCGTGGTGTGACATGACCTGTGACGTCGTGGTGTGGCATGAGCTGTGATGTCGATGTGTGAAGCTCAGCGGACTATTCTCCCGGACAATGATAATGACACTGAACTCACGAATTTATTCTCTGATTTCTTTCAAATTGAAAATACAGAAAATACAAACAGAACTTCATGATTTAAATAAAACTATTAACTTTAACGCTCATGATTTTGATAATTTAGAAAATTCTGTTTATTTAGAAAATTTTAACTTGGTTAGTGAATCTTTTGTTTTAAAGCTAATTAAATCGTCTGCCCCTAAATCTTGTTCATTAGATCCTGTTCCGACTCCTGTTCTTAAGGACTGTCTAGACGAAGTTATTCCAGTTTTTACCAATATTATGAATCCTTGTATATCATCCTCTACTATCCCCAACGTTTTCAAACATGCTTATGTTACCCCTTTAATTAAAAAGTCTACACTGGATCCTAATGTTTAAAAAAAAGACCTGTCTCTAACTTAAGTTTTATTTCTAAAATATTGGAGAAATGTAGATGATAACTGTTTGTATGAACTATTTCAAAGTGCTTATAAACAATTTCACAGCACCGAAACAGCTTTAACCCGGGTTTCAAATGATATTTTAAATATAAATTGATAATAGAAAATTATGTACATTTTTAATTTTATTAGATTTATCTGCTGCTTTCGATACGGTGAATCGTTCTATTCTATTTTAAATTCGGTATTTGTGGCTCTGCATTAAATCTTTTAGAAAGCTGTCTTGTGGGTAGAAAACTGTGTATTTTAGTTAATTGTAAATCGTCGTCTGAATTGTCATCTGGGGTTCCTCAAGTTTCTGTTCTTGGTCCGATTTGAATTACCCTTTATACGTCACTATTAGGTGATGTCAGAAAATATGGTCTCAGCTTCTATTTATATGCCGATGATACCCAGTTATATATTTCATTTACACCTAATTGCCTATCTTCTTTCAATTTATCATAATTGCAACTTGAGAACTGTTTTAGTGAAATTAGAAAATGGATGTCAAAGAACTTTCTAAAACTAAATGATGATAAAACAGAATATTTGTTATTAGGTTCAAGGCATCAATTAAGTAAATTTGCGCATGATAAACCCCCGCCCCCTGTTGTAATTCTGCTCGTAATATAGGCGCAATCTTTGATAGTTTTATGCTTATGGGAGCTCAAGTAAATAATATTTGTAAATTGTGCTATTTTAATATCAGAAATATGGGTAAAATACGTAAATGTGTAACTGTAGAGGCCACTAAGTCACTTGTTAATTATCTGGTCACTTCTCGATTAGATAACTTTAATTTACCTTTAGTTGGTTTACCTTTAATTATAGATAAATTACAAAATGTACAGAATACTGCAGCTAGACGTGTTACTTTAACTAAGAAATGCGACCACATAATTCCTGTTTTATGTAATTTACACTGGTTACCCGTTAAATATCGAATTGATTGTAAGATTTTATTACTTACTTTTAAATGTTTAAACAATTTAGCTCCTGTTTACCTCTCAGATCTTTTAGAACTTAATACATCTGGCCAAACATTGCGTACATCAGATAAACTACTTTTAAAGCCCAAAACTGTTCAACTAGTCTCTTAAGGTCAGCGTTCTTTTAGTTATCAAGCACCTGTTTTATGGAATACTCTGTCATTCAGTTTAAGATGTTGTACATCTCTATATTCTTTTAAAAAGTAACTTAAAACACATTTATTTAACCAGGCTATTAACTGACTTTGTATGCAACCGTTAACATGTCCATAATTTTGTTTATTTATGATTGTATTGTCATTTTGTAAAGTGCCCCCGAACATGTTAAATGAAAGGGCGCACTATAAATATACTGTAATAATAAATAATAATAAATATGCAATTTTGTTCTCAATAATGGAATTTAACGGTACAATAATTAATATTTTGGAATTTGAGAAATACGGCAATAAATAAAAAATGAGCGATTTACCATAGCCGGTGGACCTACGATTGTATCATTTGATTATAATAAGAGCTGATTTTAAACTGTCGCTTTGTTTGGGTTTAAGATAACAATATGAGGTCGTACGATCAACGTTTAATTTGGCTAGAGCAATCTTACACATTAAAGAAAAGAAAGAAAAGCTTAACACATCTTCTAGCTTACTCATTTTAAGTAACACTACGCCAAAACATGGCTGCCCTCTACCTGTCTCCAATGCCGTATATATAAAGTTGCGACAACTGTGAAGCCAGAAATTTCATTTGACGTCATGAAAATATGACGTCAAGTGTACAAAGACGCCATGTTGGGTCCCAACAATGTACCTACTTACCATTTATAATTTATATGCCCCGTTATATTGTTGTGTCCCAGTTGCCAGGCAGGGGCGTTGATAGATATGTCATAGATTTCCGCGAAGAAGAGTCGATAGGAGATAAAACATACATTTTTTAAACGACAAGTATAGCTAAACATTATTATTATTATACAACAAAAAAGAGCCCAATTCATAAGAAAATAAAATAAAAGATACACCAGATAAAAGCGCAATTAAATATATTTAACTTGCATACGCTTTTAAAAATCAAATTTTTCATGCAGACGGGTAAATTGAAAACATGTTCCTCACAGCAAAATATTTATCGGCTTTTGTTCAATCTATAAAAACCTACATTCCTACATAATGTTTTGTTTAGTCAAGCGAAACAAGAAATTCATAACTATGCCGGGGGTGGGTGGAGGGTACATTCATCTGAACAAATCTGACTAGACCAAATGGAGCAATAGAACAAATGATTTATTATCATTAAAACATCTACGGGTTGTTAACAATGTGTAAATAGAATTTCCTACATCAAGTCTATTGCACCTAGATGTTTAAAGCGCGTTAACAATATATTAATTTAAGAGCAACTATGTCATTTCGGGATTAACATATCGTAAAATTCATATTCATTTGGCGATCGACCTCCTATTTACATCATATTTGAGAAACTACAGGATGGATCATGGTTTAAAGACTACCTGAACTACAAGGTACATCCAATTACATGGTATATCATGTATACTCTATCCGAACAACAGGGTACATGATTGTTTAGAGGGACTCTATCCGAACTACAGGGTACGTCATGGTTTAGATATCCTCGACCGTCGGTCTGTCCCTAGTAGCATCAAGGCCGATAGTTAAAATGGGTTCATTTCTGTCTGTTATTCATCACGACGGGCTGTTGTGATTGCCACAGTAGTACAGTTTTTCACAAGCAAGAGACACTAGGGGGTCCGATGGGTTCTCTCATTGCTTTTATAAAACTGATCGTAAAAATGTTTTCTGTAATTTGTCCTGGTGTTTCTAGTTTACGCACACATTTGACAGGCATCGCCATTTTGGTTTCTACTTTGATTGTCGTTTCATATTTACACCATCTGAACTATTCATACTTATTTTTTTAAAAAAATAGAACCCAGCAACCACCAAAAACCCATATATACGACTTATCACAAGCCATACCCAAAGGAAAAAATGATGATTAATTAAAATACCACTATTTTGGATTTCATTTTGCCCACCATTTTGAATTTTTACCTTCAAGAATGCTCGAAATTTAATTTTGAGATCAGAGTTGAACCGAAAAACCCCAAACAGACTAACATGGTTCAATTGTATTTATTGAGAGAGAGAGAGAGAGAGAGAGAGAGAGGGAGCGTTCACTCGACAGAAACTAGGTCATTTCGGGACTAACATATGGCTCAATTTTATTTCAATATTTCGTTTGCGCGAAGGGGTCTTTTTAGCAGTGGGAGGAAGCCGGAGCACCCAGAGAAAACCCATGAGGTTGGACAGGCGACCCTATCCCTTGTCACGTACAACCGGGGATTCGAAACCACGCGAGTTGACTCACTGACAGACATTATGGTACAGCGCGCACGTGCTAACCTTTCGGCCACCTATCCCCCCAAAAACCTACAAAGTTTGACAGGCAACCCTACTGCTTGTCACATACAACCGGACAGGGAATCGAAATCACTCCAGTCGACTCAATCAGAGACCGTATTTTAAAGTGCGCACGCGCTACCCCCCCCCCCCCACGTGTCATCAAATAGTACAAGCCTGTTTCACTGCTCCAAATGGGTGTCGTGAAAAATGCAGGGTAGTCTTCCTTTCAAGCACATCTGATACCACGAAGCTAATAATTACCGCTTTACGAATTGAAATGGGATTTAACGTCCTACTGTTCTGTATCGACTGGGATAATGAAGGCAGGCATACGCCATACAGTGTGCAATGGGGGAAATATTGCCCGGATAGCGTCATTGTGCCCTACTCTTATTTAGCCTACATATTTGTGGCCTACATAATATAATATAGTACTTATATAACGTAAAATAACGATATAGTAACAGTAACGCCCAATTAACATATTCTTTAACGTTTGTAAAGAACGGTGGCAAACGACAACCAAACGTTCCTGACTTACGTCAGGAAACCGTTCAGAAAACCAAATTTTGTTAGCTGAGTATTATCTGTGGATATGTCCGTTTTACATTATATCTTGAATATAACCCATAGCCTTTCTTTACAGTCAGAGTATACGTGTAATTGCTGTGATATGTTTAATGGAAAATACTGTGACACGTTTGATGCCTGTCTCGGTGAGCCATGTCAAAATGGAGCACAGTGTCAACATAAAAAAGATTCTGAAAGTGGATTTACTTGTAAATGTAGACTGGGTATGTATAAGTTATCACATTATTTTGAAGAAACAAGAACAATAATTTTCCCAGGATGCTGAAAGTAAACTATTTATAAAATATCATTGGATTTATTTGTGTCATATGAAATATGAATTCATATGATTGGAGGTTGTTGTTTTTTGGGGTTTTTTTTGGATAATGGATTTGTTTTGGTTCTAGCTTTTATTATTATACTAAAGACGTGCATTATTTATTATTTGAAGTGGCTGCCTCGGATACAGTTGGTGAAACAAACGGGTTAATTCAACGTGTATAAAACTTTACCCTAATCGTTTACAACTATATGAAACTCTTCGCGGAAACACAAGTTTGCTGTTTCCGTATGTTTTTGGCGATTACCAAGTCAATTTAACAGCATAATTACGACAATGTAGAGTGTAACTTCTATATTTGTTCCCCGTAAACGAAGCTTCTACTCTTGCTGTTTTTTTATATTTTATTTCATGTTATTTATATTTTTAAAATGACAAAATTTATCTTCCTTAACGCCTTACATGCTTAGAATGAACATTGAACAAATTTCGAATCGTGACACTTCTACCTAGCAATCACCATTATAAGGTTGTTTGGTGTAGCCACCGCATGCTCAATTTAATGAGTGAGCACCCGTTGGGAAACATTACGTGATATAAGCGACTCGTGCCTTCAGAGTTCTTCGTTTGCCTAAAGGCTTAGATGGAGTGGTAACATTGGATATAACATCGAACGTAATATAGACTTATAAAATAATAATTACAAAATAGTAGAAGCTCTAATCATATAAATTTCTCTTTTGGAGATCATTTCTTCTCATTTTCAAAATATTTTCAGATATTCGACATTTGTTCATTTTTTTTCTCAGGATTTGAGGATTTTTTTTACTTGATTTATTTTTTACAATAGAAGCTCAATTGCTCTTCACTTCACGAACAATGTAATTGCGTTCTTAAAAAACCCCACCAAATATGTAATTTTATAATGATAAATATTCTCTTGAATACAATTTAGTAACCCAAATATGAGAATGAAACGATTTTTTAACGAGACAGAGATAAGCTGCTCATGTTGCTCGCGAAGGTGTTTCTATTTCTCATGCCTTCGTTATACCTACCTGACTTCATGGATACACAATTCTTGACATAATTCAACCAAAGTAAAACTGGACTAGATTGACATTTTTACATATTCTTATACAATATAAAATAAAAAACTTGACTAGATTGAGCAATGTTATCTTTAAACCAAAATTCATCCAAATACTAGACTTGATGGACATATTGTTGTGGACTTATAACTAAAATAAAACAAGCCAGCAGTGAGGTTGAATGTCCTCACCTCAATAAATAGACGAAACCCATTAACAGACATATTATTTTTAATGAAATTCAGTCAGTCATATTTCGCTGGTATTATATGGCGAAAGCTTGTTCCATTGTATCATTTGAACACTCCGCTCAACACGGAAGTCAAACAAAACGTCGCGTAATATTCCGGTCTTGCCCTCGGCCACTTCATTGCTCAAGCAGTGGCGAAATCAAATGATATCATAATGGATGTTGCTAGGGAGAAATGTGTCATGATTCTAAATTTGTTCGGTGTTCATGCTAAGCATGTAAATCGTCATTTTTAAATTTTCAGTTTTCTGTAAGCAGTGAAAACACTATTTTGGCATTGTTTGCGGGGTTAAACCTAAAAATCACATTAATACACCTATTGCACGATATTGTGAAACTAGCTGACGAAGACAGCTCGTGCGGTGATTGTTCGACTCGGGGCTGCTCTGTCAGTATCTAACATTTAGTTCGCGTACAACTTTTAGAAACCGAATCTCAGTATGGTATTTCTCACATAATTGGTTATCGCAAAAACAGAGTAAACTGAAAGCGAGTAATCTCGACTCAAACCTTTAGTCTATAGCCTACTTACTACACTCGTCACTAGGCTTCCTATATTATTGTTTGTGGACGGTTTACTACTCAGTGATAAGCCTGCGCCGCAAAAAGAGGTCTCGCCTTTTATTCTAGTATAATGACTTCCTTATGTGCGGCAGGTTAGTTTGCTTCTAAAAACACTGTTTTCCGTTCCAAAAAATACAAAAGTAATTTTCTACCAGATAACCATGGTTCTTTTCACCGAGACTAGATAATTTCTCTCGGTGTAAGGATATAGTAGCTATGGATAAGTTCATACAAGGTCAATAAATCCGCGGTCACTTCGGGTCACACTGTTGAGAAAATAAACCGATGGGTTTGTTTAGTAGCAAATCGAGCGTGAATCAACTGAGTTTGTACTGAAAAATTTTTGAGTGATATGTATGAACTGTCTTCACACATTCGGTTTATAATTAGCGATACACAGGTACAGTGGCAAGTGTTGTACTTCACAGACGTTTTTACCTCCGAACTACCTCCGCACGAAATCCCCGATTTGGGTACTTGTTAAAAGAAAAAGAAATAGTACCTGTGCGCATGCCAGTAAAAAAAACCTAAGAGTTCGCGCATAAAAATGCCCGAACGTACCAGGCGCCAGGTCATCTAGAACATCACATTCAACTGAACGTAGAGTTGAGCTTATTAAAATCAGTAGGGAATTTTGTTTACCGATTTTGTTATAATGAGTTCATTTATTTACTAATTGAGTCAGGTCTAATAAGTTGCTAGCATCGTGAATGAAACTGGCTGTTTTAGTATTCAAGTCAATATTAAAATGTCCTAAAATTATGCACTTCTCAATAGGATCGGTAATAGCTTGTTGAAAAGAATTAAGAATCTGTTGATTGAGATTGGACGATGAAGAGTGGGGTCTGTAGTAGTTACCAAGTAGAAACTTGTTATTATTAGAATTAATCTCTATCCAAATTGATTCAATATTTGCATTTTCTAAATCATGTCTACGTTTGAATGATATGGAGTTACGAATATATATAATCACCCCGCCACCACGATTATTTCTAGGTAAAGCTATAGACTCAGATGTGAGGTTTTTGTCCAGCCATGTTTCGCTTAATGTTATTATATCAAAGCTAGTTAATTCTGCGGTTATCAAATCGAGTTTATTTTTGAGGCTCCTTACATTCAAATGCACTACTCGTGCCTTTTTTTATTTCTTTTATGTATTAATGATATTGTAAATGATATCAACTCGATTATTAGACTATTTGCTGATGACACTTACCTAGCTTCATTTACAAATAACATCACCGGGCAGACGCGGCTATCCTAAATAATGATTTGATTACTATTAACAACTGGCCAAATACATGGCTTGTAACGTTCAACCCTCTAAAAACTGAAACAATAACTTTTTCAACTAAAACAAATTTAACTAAATCACACTTGCATTTGGACACCGTGCGAATAAAATAAGTGTAAATCGGGTATCCAGTAAAAACAGAGCTGTAATATATGGACTTAATAGAAAATTATTAAAAATCATTTATACTTCTTTTATTCTACCACTTTTTGATTATGCTGACGTAATTGAGGATGGTTGCTCAGACAAATTAGCTACTCAATTAGAAATTTTACGTTATATGCACTTAGAAGCATTAATGGTGCGGTTTGAAATACAAGACATGCAAAAGAAACATGGTTTCTTCCATTGAACGTCGAAGAAGATACAAACTAGAATTAAGCTAATCATTGGACAAGCTCCCTGTTATATTTCTAACCTTATCTTAAAGAATAAAATCGCCATAACATCTTAGAAGTAGTAATGAGTACTTTTGTAGAACAAATATTTAATCCTATATTTTCATGTGGACACATAATTATGTCGTCCACCCTTTCCGTCCGGACGTCCGTCAGTTCTTCCACAATTTGTTTGTGGACACTCTACAGGTTACAATTTATCTACGATTTTGACGAAACTTGAAATATAACTTTATCTCCCAAAGATCTCGGTTCCTTTCGATATTGGCATACATAGGCTTATAACAATGTTTAACTGATTTTAAAAACCGTTCAAGTATATCATCCTTCCACCCTAATGACGGTTTAGTTCGAATTTCGTGAAAATCGGACCGGAATTGACTGACAAAATGACCGCTCCCTGTACGCAAATAGTGTAAAAGTATGTAATACCAAGGTTGTGGGCCCTTTATCCGATTTTGATTAAACTCCAAAATATGATTATATTGCAAAGATCTGGGTTCCTGTCGATACCTGCGCGTATCGGACTGTACCTTCCTGGATTATGACCCCTGATTGTCCGAAATATCGCCTTTTAGGTTAACCTGTGCATATACCTGGGAGCACTCCCCCTAACCCTCCCATATTTAATGCGAGTTAAAATTCAATGTCCATCTACAATTTTTTTGCAAGCGTTTCACACTTAACACTAAGAAACCGAATGGACGTGTTTGCCTGTTGTCTAGGAATCACTCAACCGTGATATGTAAGCGTTTGGACTTATACTATTATAAAAACAAAATTAACTATGGCTTCAAAGAATATATTGGAGATTGTGGATAGCGCTACACAGGTTATTAATGAGGATAATACTGTTATTACACATTTGGCTGATATAATTACAAGCATAGATAAAAGATTATCCAATATTGAACGAGACATAAAAAGAATCGACTCCATAGAAAAAATCCTCACTTCCCTAACAAATAAAGTCACAAGATTAGAGTCAGATATTGATAGTGTGAATAATAAATGTGTGAAAACAGATACAAATGTGAAAAGGATAGAATCCAAATGTGTCGAAATCGGAGAAAAGGCAGATTTAAATTTAGTGAGTATAGCTAACTTCACAAGTAGATTTCAACAGGTGAACGATCATATAAACAAGCTACGCGATCATGTTGACTCTGTAATGACAGAAAAAGGTAACCTGGCCGAAACTATTACTGATCTCTAATGAAAAATAATCTAATATTCAATGGGTTACGAGAAGAAACTAACGAAGACACGGAATACAAATTGAGGCAATTTTTTTTCTACGAGCTAGAAATTGACTATAAAATAGAATTTTGGAAATGTTCACCGGTT